AGTATCGAAGAAGGGGCCAGGCTGTTGGTGATCTGCTGGATATTAACCCAAGTCTTTTAGGCTTCATCTCTGAATTACCCCTTTTCCTCCTCCCAGAAAAACTTATCATGTCCTTGCTATCATCCCTAATTTCGTTAAAGTTTATCTTTAACATGTCCTTTGTATTTTTCCTCGCGTTGTCTCAGTTTACCAGGTCAGTCTTGATTACTTATAAACCATAACTTTCTGGTAATTCTCAACTTTGTATTTGTACTGCTTTGTAGTTGAAGTGGCTGTGTATTTGTACCTGCTTTCCTGTTTCCCCTATAGCTTTTTTATGTTTTTAATCTACAGCACTGTTCTTTGGTTAAACACAGAAAGACCATCAATGCTTATACTCCTAATATTTGGGAGTTGATGGACTCAAGTATATCTACTCCTGGGCATAATTGCTTGGTCATAGTTACTTGACTCGGGCTTCAGTTGCTGTAGTTCCTACCACACCAAAAGGGAGGTTCTGCCATGGGACTTGGATGGACCTGGGGCAAGTGGAAAAACTACCCCGGCTTCGAAATGGAACATTCTAGAATGCACGTATGCAGGGTCTTGATACAAACTGTGACAGTGTTAGAGACAGGACCCCCATGGGGAAGGACAAGCTGAACTGGCCTGAAGACTTAATCTGGGATTTACAGTAAAAGCCTTGCTTGCTCTCAGAGCCCATAGAAGTAAGTGTTAAAAGTCTTATTTGCTCTGGGGGCTGGAGAGGAAGCACAGCGGGTAGGGTGTTTGCCTTGCACGCGGCCAACCTGGGTTCAATTCCCAGCAACCCATATGGTCCCCTGAGAAACGCCAGGAGTAACTCTTGAGTGCAGAGCCAGGAGTAACCCCTTGTATCACCGGTTGTAACCCAAAAAAGCAAAAAAATGTTTAAAAAAAAGCCTCGTTTGCTGTCAAAGCCCAGAGAACTAAGTGTTGGGATCTTTGTCTCTTACTGTGTTTATCCAAACAACTACAAGTGTTGATAACTTATGCAATTAGAGGAAAAGATAAAAGCAACGTAGATGTCCCTGGGGGACAGAGTGTCTCCTTGGGTAGATCTCCCCATGAGAATTTCCTCTGCCATATGTTTATCTGCGTAAATGATCAGTCATTCCTATGTTATGGTGCTTATCTGTCCCTTTTCAATGCCAGGGTAGCTCACAGCTCTCCTGGGTCCATCCAGTCTCTTGCTTTTGAGGTGCTAAGAACAAAGGGCAGCTGAGGCTTAAGTCTCATAAGCATGACAATGCCCAGGAGTATATAGTATCTGCAGTCAATTAACTCTGAAGTTACAAAAGCATAGTATTGCCTTCCTTTGTCTATACAAAGCTGAGGGCTGGGGGCATGGCCATCCCAATCCTCCCAGCACAATCTTCCCTACCTGGGACTGCACTGATCCTTCTCCAGGATCAAAAAAAGATATTTGTCTAAAGTAAACTGCAGAGGATATAAAGGAAATAGAAAGTCAACATTTCACTTCCAAATACAAAATCCAGAGATCTCTGAAGAATCTGACTTTACAATTCACAGGTTGTGGTTATGGGAAATGGGTGATTAATCATAGTGGAAGCAGAGCACAGGGAAGTTAAAGATGAATACTATGGAAATGGAAGAGATTGGGATGGGTGTTACTCAGTAAGCCTAAGCTCCTTGTAGCAGAGGAGAAATGATGATCCAATGTTAAACCTAAATTGTTTAGAACTAGAATCCAACCAGGGTAAAGGGTTTTGTTTTTTTTAAGCAAGAAAGTTTTGGTTTTCGAGGAGTAAGGACATTTGCTCAGGAATCCCACTGGTTGTGCTAGGAGCACAGTTACTTAAGGCCGGAGCCATAGTACAGTGGGTAAGGACTTAACCATCCAAGCAATCGACCCAGGTTCTATCCCCTGCATCCCATATGGTCTGTACCAGAGTGATTCCTGCGTGTAGAGCTAGGAGTAAGCCCTGAATCTGCCGGTTGTGGCCCCGAAACAAAAATCACACAAAATCACATATATACACATATATGCACAAACAATGGTGAAAGAACAATAGGGATTCAGGAGAAACTGTGAGTTTCTGTAGCAGGGATAGATGAAAAATAGGGGATTATTTTTTCTTTTTTGGATCACACCTGGCGATGCACAGGGATTCCTCCTGGCTTTGCACTCGGGAATTACTCCTGGCAATGCTCAGGGGACCATATGGGATGCTGGGAATCGAACCCGGGTTGGCCGCGTGCAAGGCAAACGCCCTACCCGCTGTGCTGTCTCTCTAGCCCCAAGAATAGGGGATTTTTAAGGACCAGAAATTTGACTCTAAATGTTTCACTCTAGAATTTCTCTTTGTATATCATTTCCCCCCCCCCCCTTCGGTAGAATTTGCCTTTTTTTCTTGTTATATTTTTCACCACACCCTACAGTGTTCAGTGTTTACTCTTGTCTCTGAGCTCAGGGATCATTTGACAAGATTCAGGGTAACATTGTGTGTCTAGATATCATTGGTTCAATGTTTGGTGACAACTGCAGGATCAGGGGACTTCTCCTTATCCCCAGGCCCCCAGTGTGTGACCGACCAGTTCAGCATTTGCCTCTCCACTCCTTCATTTGAGTCCATCCCCCTTGCAGCACAGATTCACCTGGGTGGCAAAAAGGTTCCCATTGCCTAGACTCTGGCTCTTCAAGGAACCTTATGGAAATGGAAGTGATGTCTTAAGTGTGTCATGGTTCATTTTCCATCCCTGACACAGACACTGGGGCTTTTGCTCACTTGGCAAAGGACAAGTAAATTTGCACCCCATCCTGGAAGGGGGGCTGTGAAGGCATATTTTGTGGCAGGATTCGAGCAGCCTCCTGTGAGCACCCCAAGCCTTCCCATTTCCACACTGTGAGTGGAGGGTCTGAGCCAGATTGGGGGGCATTTTTGTGCTGGTTTTTCACTTGTTCCCTGACATCCAGGTGGATTCTGGGGTGCGGTGGAGGCTGTAGGGGAATGCAGAGCTTTGGAGGTGCAGTGGGGGCTGTATCAGGTTGCAGAGGTCGCAGTTGTGAGTGCGTGATCCTGGGGGGCCTCTTGGCCACGATCGTCTCCAGCTCCGGGATGGGGCAACAGTGGGTGAATGTGGGACTCAGCCAGGGGCTTGGCCGTCCCAACCCTCCCAGCAGTCCCATGTTTGAACCATCGGCCCTAAGCTCGCTTCTGTAGAATCTCCAGATTTGAGGGGCAGAGCTTCAGCCCCTCCACCTAATGGCAGGAGACCTGTTGCTTGTCATCTTCATTTTCTGCCGTGAGAGCCCGGGTCATGCGGGGGTTGGGGGAAGGGGACTTGCAGGTGGCTGAGTTTTGCCAAAAAAATTGTATTTGGGGGGCTATTTTTGGTTCTTTAGATTTTAGGGGGTAGAGAGGGCACACACGCGGAGATGCTCATGGCTTACTCGAGTCTCTAAGCTCAGATATTTTCCCTGGCACTACTGGGGGCCATATGGGATGCAGAGGATTGATCGGTTTATCTAGTCAAGCACCCAATTCACATTATTGCCTTCTAACCACAATACTGGTGTTTCTTTCTCCGGATCATGAATTTCAGCTCCCTCATATCAAGCTGCAAAGCACCCCTGACTCTTCATCTCTCTCTGAGCAGACAACACCTGGAGCCTCCTGCTGATACTCAGAACAACAGTGACAGTAGAAGATGGTGACACGGCTTCTGATAAACCGTCCCCAGGTAGGAGTAGAGGGATAGAATGACATGAGTACCAGGAGTGCCCAGGCTTCCTGGGCCTTCTGTTTTGAGTTTCTTTTGGACGGATTCCAAGATGAGACTTCCGATCGGATCGTCCCATTCTGCTGTTTGAAGCTGCTTTTGTGTATGTTTGTTTTGTTTTATTTGGCTTTGGGGCCAAACCAGTGGTGCATGAGGAGTACTCAAAGCTCAGTGCTCAATGCTCATTCCTGACAGGTCTAGGTGACCAATGGGATGCTGGAGGTCCAAAGGTTTCATCTTGGGTTTTCTGTTTTATTAGGGATGGCAGAGCAACGATTCTCACAATCATTCCTTGTGCTGCACTCTGGCATTGCCCCTGGCAGTGCTTGTGGGACCATATGGGATGTTGGGGATCACCAGTCCCACATGCTGTCCCCGGAACAGCTGTCCTGTTACGCCAACCTGCTGCTTCAGCTTCTTTTGCATTGTTTTTGTCATCAACTGTCCTCTTGACTCTGTGCTCTGGATTCACAAGTGACGGGCCTCAGAGCACCCTGGGGTGTGTTGGCCCCGTTTGCGCCCTGACAACTACAGTGACTTGGGCCCCCAGACTTGCTTTTCTCCTGTTTTCTCCTTCCTACTTTTGAGAGACTACCTGCTCGGTCATATAGTCTTACGTCCACATATTCTTGTGTGTTGATTTCTGGGCATGCGCCGATCCCAAGGAGAAAGAGACAAGGATCTCTGAGGCCAGTAGAGATGCTGGGGTAAAGAAACTTCTACATTCTTTGAGCGGGATTTGGGGCGGTCCTGAGCAGTGAGTTCCTACAGGCACACATGCCATGCACTGCTCTGAGTAATTGTCTATATGGACTTCACGTTCTCAATCCTAGTGGCCATGTGCTTTGGGGGTGCAGCGGTAAGCATGCAGTGGTTTTTGCTACACCCAGGGATAGTGTTTTGGATCGTACAAGTCTGTGTTCAGGTGATCCTCTCTACAGTGCTTACTAGACCAGTGGTGCTCGAATTGGCCCTGGGGTTACCAGGAAAGGCAGATACATCCAAGAACCTTCTGTATAACGTCCTCCCACTTTAGCAGATCCAGCTGCCTTATGTGATTTCTGGGGCCCGTCAGCCATGCGTGTGCATGGAGGCTGGTTCATTCGGAGGGGAGAGGCCCAGCGACAATATAGGACCCTGGGTCCTGGCATCAGAGTAGTGGGAATGAGGCTAAGATATACTCTGACTCCCACCCTCTCCGTGTGCTGACTCAGGATGTCGTGACCTTCAATGACGTGGCTGTGAACTTCACCCTGGAGGAATGGTCATGCCTGAAGGCCTCTCAGCGGAAGCTGTACAGGGACGTGATGCTGGAGAACTACCAGCATCTGCAGGCTGTCGGTGAGAGCAGTGTGGAGCCAACCATGTCTGAACAGACCTGCGAGGGCTTCCTGGGTGGCAGCTGTGTGTCCAACAGTAGCTCTGTGACGGGCTGGGATATTGGACAGCCATGCAGTAGCTCTTCCCTCCCTCGTTTATGGGGGTTCACCTGTGGATACTCAGGGCTTACTGTCAGCTTTGTCCTCAGGAATTACTCGTGTGGGGTAGCCGGAACCTATGGAGTGATTCAGATCAATCCATTTCGACTGTGTCCATGGGAAGATCCCTATCCCATTTGTCGCTCAGGTCCTTTTAAATAGATCCATCCATTGGTGAATCAATTTACTTTGTATACTACATGAACTTTTGTATGTTTAATTGGTTTTGCTGTTGCCTTTGTTTGGGGGCACAGTCCACAGTTCTCCTGGCTCTGTGCTAAGGGATGACTGCTAAGACTGCTCAGGGGCAATGAGGTACCGTGGACTGAAACCTCTTGGTAATTTAAAATGTTGGTGCCTCACCCCCAGTACTTTTGCACCAGTCACACAACTGTTTTTGCATTTAATTTTTTCCTTAGGGATTAGGAATTATTCCTGCCTGTGTATTCAGGATCCATACCTGGCCTTGCTCCAAGACCATATGGGCTGCCAGGGATCAAACCCACATGTGTGTGTATCGGTTCTGTCCTATGTGCTGTACTATCTCTCTCCCACCACAGGGGATTTGATATCTCGTCTCTCAACTCATTAGACGCTGCCCTATTTCAGTGCTTTGATTTACTTCTAATGGTTCTTGTGAGACTTCAGCAGGACTTAGGGTTTGCTCCTGGATTATGCACTCAGGGATCTCTCCTGGCTGGCATGAGGGACCCTATGAGATATTGGGTATCATACCTGGTCCGTGAGAAACTCCTGCTCTACTCTCTTTCTGGATACAGTTTTTAGCTTTAAAAAATAAGGGTCTCTTGCCACCCTTAGCCATTTCCAGATTTATTATGCACTTAGTTTTACTGAATTCCTTGATTAGTTCATGTGGGGCTCAGGAAACTCCATGTGCTCCTGGGCCTAGAAAGAAAATACAGGGAGGAAAGTGATTTTCTTGCAAGCGGCGCACTTGGTTAAATCCCCAGCAACCCATGTCATTCCCGAACACCAGCAGCAGTGATTTTTGAATACAGAGTCAGGAGTCACCCCTGAGCATTGCCAGGTGAGACCCCAAACAAAACAAAAACCAACAACATATTGTGCTGAGCAACCCCCTGTCCGCCATACACAAGGCCAGGTCTAGAGTATTTGTGATATTTTCTTGGGTCTTAACTCTTGAATAACTAGAAATATGTGGCATTTTGGAAATGGACATTCTGTTCATGTCTTTCATATATTTGCCAAGTTATATCAGGAAAACATGGGGATTTACCTTTCACCTTTTCCCTGTCACTTATCCATGCCTCTGTCTCTGTCGGGGTAGGGCACTCTGGGATGAAGCCTGCGGTGATCTCCTGGCTGGAAGAAGGAGCCCTGAGGTCGGGGAGGAGAGGCATGTGTGCAGGTGAGTGTCTGAGGACCCTTCCTGGCTCAGGCCCTGTGCAGTGTATGGGTGTCCTGAGCATGTATGAAACACGCCTCTGAGATCGGGGCCTTGGTCTCCTGAATCCTTGGTTCTGTCCCGCATACACACTCCTCTTCATTCCCCTGGAATGTCAGTCACAGAATGATCCTGTAATTTGCTTCCATGGCTTTCGAATAAGTAAGACCATAACAGAGCTAGTTTGGATCTGAACGATAGTACAGCAGGGAATGCCTTGCAGTGCCTGAAGGTGATCTGTTCAATAATGTGTTCAATAACCTGGTTCTCCGAACATTACCAGGTCTGCTCAAAAACAAAAACAATACCTAGTGAAGAATTGCCAAGATCCTCACAGTTTTCCACTATCCGAATCTTTTCTTTAGTGTGGGACTCTTTGGAATTTGAGAACCACAGAGATGTACTCTTAACTACATGACATCATTTTGCTACATTTTTTGACAAGTGCTTGAATTGCATGTTTTGTTCAGTTTCAGAACTGAAACCGCGGCTTCAGGATTTGGCATTACAGCACTTTGATTTGGGAATGGGGTCCGCAAGTACGAGTGAGTTGGTAAGATTCGCTAATTCAGAATAAATATTATTATGCCAGCAGGAGTGGACCAAGTATGTGATTGTTAAGGTGGAAGGCTGGGAATTGCAGGGAGGACTTCCAAAGCCTGATGCTTGGCGTAGAGGACCCTTAGCTTCACTAGGTGCTGAAATCAACCATGTTTAAAAATACTGTGAGTTTTGATTTGCTTGACAGTGGTTGTTGTTTAGAAAGCTAATTTCTGCGCCCTAGAGATGGTGCAGTGAGAAATATAATTGCTTTGCACATGGACGGATGTTCCTTACCCAGCACACCTTATAGACAGCATAGACCGACAAAACTGATCCTGGACACTGCATGGTGTGCCCCTCCACTCACCCAACCCCCAATAAATAGAAACTGCAAAACAAAGGAAAAAAAAACGTTATTGATCCTGAAAGGCATCAATTGTGGTGAGAGCTTTGCAATGGCCACGTGGTCTGTCTCAGCTGTGGGACGATGCAGCGTTGTCTTCACCCCTGCATCACAGGTTCCACACTGAGCTTTAACCAAACCCACATGTGGATGTATTTCATTTTCTCTTGAAATGGATGCATCCGTTTTCTATAGAAGGAATTGTTTCCAGTTGTATTCCTTCATTAATTTAAAGGGGAGGAAGTCACAGAATTTACTGACTCTATATCCATCAATTTTGTGCGTCCAACTTACAGTAACATGAAGTTATTCAATAGTAAGACAATTCATATGTCAGTAATAGCATTTGTGCGGTGCATCAAAACCACATCTGAAGGGCTCAGATTTTTGACAGGAAGACTCAGTGAATTAGTCAATAATTAGAATCCTCTGTTGTTCTACAGGAAAGCTGCCACCCGGAGTGGAATGTCTCTGATCCTGCACTGTATGATAATGTCTCGAGAGAGCAGTCCTGCCCTCAGCCCCATGAGGACCCCGAGACAGGCGGGATGTCTTCTGAGGGTGATCAGAATGGCGAGAGCTACCTCACTCTGAAGAAGCCCTCTCCTGGAAAAAGTTCCTTGGAGTGTGTTATTCTCAGTTCACAGACACAAAATTCCCCAGTGAGGCACTTGCTATGGAAAGGAGCACTGTTTATAGTGAGTCCCTCACAGCAACATACCGTCAACCACAGTTACCGTGAGCAGAACCTATCTACATATAAGGAATGTGGGGGAGCCTCCCCATGTTTTCAGCACTGTGGTGTTCCCTTAGAAAACCACAGTGGACAGAATCCCCAGAAAAGTCAGCCCGGAGAACAAAGAGTGAGTCAAGGGTTATTCCATCATGACCATATGAATATAAATTCAGGAGTGAAACCTTTTTCATGTGAAGCATGTAGGAAGGCCTTCGATGAATCATCACATCTTATTATGCATAGGAGAATTCATACAGGAGAAAAAACTCATGAATGTCAGACATGTGGGAAGGCCTTTATTCAGACCTCTAGTCTTAACAGACCTATGAAAACTCATAGTGGAGAGAAGCCTTATATATGTCAGGTGTGTGGCAAGGCCTTTACTCAGTCGTCAAGCCTCAATAAACATGCATTTATTCACACTGGAGAGAAACCGTATATATGTAAGGAATGTGGAAAGGCCTTTGCTAGAGCCTCAAGACTTACTATACATAGAAGAATTCACACTGGAGAGAAACCGTATATATGTAAGGAATGTGGAAAGGCCTTTGCTAGAGCCTCAAGACTTACTATACATAGGAGAATTCACACTGGAGAGAAACCGTATATATGTAAGGAATGTGGGAAGGCCTTTACTGAATCCTCAAGCCGTAGTATACATAGGAGAATTCACACTGGAGAGAAACCATATATATGTAAGGAATGTGGAAAGGCCTTTGCTGTAGCCTCACGACTTAGTTTACATAGGAAAATTCACACTGGGGTGAAACCGTATATATGTAAGGAATGTGGAAATACCTTTGCTGATGCCTCAAGACTTAGTGTACATAGTAGAATTCACACTGGAGTAAAACCGTATATATGTAAGGAATGTGGAAAGGCCTTTACTTTGGCCTCAAGACTTAGTGAACATCGGAAAATTCACACTGGAGAGAGACCCTATGTATGTAAGGAATGTGGAAAGGCCTTTACTTTGGCCTCAAGTCTTAGTGCACATAGGAGAATTCACACTGGAGAGAAACCGTATATATGTAAGGAATGTGGAAAGTCCTTTGCTGGAGCCTCAAACCTTAGGGTACATAGGAGAATTCACACTAGAGACAAACCATATATATGTAAGGAATGCGGAAAGGCCTTTACTTCATCCCCACGATTGACTGCACATAGGAGAATTCACACTGGAGAGAAACCGTATATATGTAAGGAATGTGGGAAGGCCTTTGCTGAAGCCTCAACACTTCGTGTACATAGGAGAATTCACACTGGAGAGAAACCATATATATGTAAGCAATGTGGAAAGGCCTTTATTGGAGCCTCAAGACTTAGTTCACATATGAAAATTCATCTCAGAGTGAAACCTCATCAGTGTCAGACATGTGGGAAGTCATTCACACGGTTCTATTCTCTTACTCTACACATGAGAATTCATAATGGAGAGAAACCTTAGATATGTGTGGAGTGCGGGAAGGCCTTTACTTCATCCTCACAATTGACTGTACATAGGAGAATTCACAGTGGAGAGAAACCGTATATTTGTATGGAATGTGGGAAGTCCTTTGCTGAAGCCTGCTGATTTTCACCCGGGCTGCACCTATGCCAGTATTCTTGTGCTTGGATTTGCTTGTGTGTTAACTTGTAAATAATGGGTCGTGGTGATGAAAATAAGGAGGAAGGTGACTGAATAAACAGGTACAGAAACACCTTCCTGCTAAGAGCTGTCATGTCTCACTACTCTGTTATTGTTTGCTATGCTTCCGGCTTGGCCCAGAGGGGCTGGTTAGCGGGAATTATGGTAGAAATCAACCAAGATGCAGCATTGAATACTTTGAAAATGGAAAAACAGGTAAACCTTCATTCTTCAGTCTTCCCTGGGTTAGGATTTGGAATGCTTCAGCACCCTGCAAATCCCGGTTTGGGAAACAGAGCGTCAGGTCATGCCTACTTGTATCGTGCATTCACGTTTGTTTCTTACTTGTTCTGGATATCCAGGCTTTAGTGGATGTGGAGCTTTTTAGGGATGCATTGGAGGCTGTTCTGTGGCTCAGGTGTCATGGGTGAGAGTGCGTTTTCCTGAGGGCCCCTGCAGCCACGATCACATCCAGGTCCAAGATGGCACTGGGACGGTGGGCACATGGACTTCAGGCCTTGGTGTGAGGAGCCTGCAGAGAGTGGGGGGTCTTTGCGATTTCATTCCTCCCTACTCGAGACTGCGAAGGACCCTGTTTGGAGCCTTTGGACTGGACATAACACTTATCGAAGCTCCAGATATGTTCACGGGAAGCCCCCACAAGAAAGGGACACTTTTGCCATCGGTCATTTTCATTGGCTTCAGTGCTGCTGGGTTTGGGACTTTGGCGTGTGTTTGGACAAGTGGGAGGTATTTTCCTCTAAAAATTTACTCTTTGGGTTATTTTATTTATTTATTTTTTTGCTTTTTGGGTCATACTCAGTGTTTCACATGGGTTTCTCCCGACTTATGCACTCAGGAATTACTCCTGGTAAAGCTCAGGGGACCATATTGTTGCTGAAATTTGAATTGGGTTGGTCACGTGCAAGTCAAATGTCCTACCCGCTCTGCTATCACTTCAGCCCCTCTTTGGATTAATTTTAATAGCTGCTTTTATTCAGGGTAGTTGGAAGGGATTCTTTGATGCTCAAGGTTTACTTCTGGTTGTGAATCTCAGGAATTATTCTGTGGTGCTACTGGGTTCCAATGGGATGGGGAGGTTTGTCCTGGATCAGCAAGGCAAGCATCCTAGTCGCTTCACAGTGAGTCCAACCCCACTATTGGTGTTTTTTCTCCATATATAGAATTTCTACTTCCCGGGAGTATGGTACCGCCAGCAGGTCAATCTGTGCCTGTAAATTGAGTGCATCAGCAGCCTGATGGCACCGTCAGACTTCCAGATACTCCAAAATTGCTGCTGTACCTTTGGCCAGACTCCAAAAACTTTGAACAAAGTCTCCCAAGAAAGTAAACGGCCAAAAGTTAGGTATGTGCGAGACACACCAACAATCCATTTCCGGCTCAGCTATATAATTGGAGGCAAGGTCTCTCTGGTTCCTGATCAAACTGCTTAAAGGTTATGATCCCAAAGACTCAGAGACAAATCTTGGAACCTAGCTGCTTTTTGCAGAGATGCGCCCGGTTCCAGCAATGAGCTACCGGCGACAGACCACCACAAGGGGGGAAGGGTGTGTGTCTCTGCCTGATCCCACTTGGTGGCTCGGTGGCCACCATCTCCCAGAGGCCATTGGACAGACAGGTTTGGGCCTGCAGTGACAAGACATGCGGGGTCTCATGGGATTGGGGTGGACTCTGCCCTTTCCTCCCCATCTCAATGAGACCCCGAGTCGCTGCCCATGTACGGACTCTCTGGCTCTTGATCACTCGGCCATGATCCCAGAGTCTCAGAAACAAATCTCTGAACCCAGCAGCTTTCAGCAAAATGTGTCTGGTCCCCACAGTAGGTTACCAAAGCTGGGTATTTCAGGTGGCAATAGGTTTCATGCCTGGCGGTTCAGTGGCCGCCATCTCTAAGGGCTTCTGCACAGTTAGGTTTGGGACTGCAGTAAGGAGACATGCAGGGCCTAACAGGATGGTGGTGGATCCGGCCCTTTTTTCCCCACCCCAAATAAAACCCGGGGTTGTCTGGCACCTACGATTGACCTCTGTGGCTTGTGATCAAGGTACGTAGTGACCATGATCCCAGAGATTCAGAGACAAATCTCGAAACCCAGCGCCTTTTATCAGAAATGTCTCTGGACCCTGCAGTAGGTTACTGTCCCAGATCCACCCCAGGGGGAATTGGTGCTGTCCCTCCAACTGCTCCCCCTTGTCGGCTTGGTGGCCTCCATCCTTCAAAGGCCTTTGGAAAGTCTGGTTTGGGCCCACACTCACGAAGATACGTGGGGCCTCTCAGGATGGGGTGGAGCTGGTCAATTCCTCCCCACCCCAACAAGAGCCTAAGTCATTCCCACGAACCACCTCTCTGGCTCTTGATAAAGCAGTTTAATGGCCATAATCCCACAGACTCAGGAACAAATCTCGGAACCCAGCAGGTTTTGGCAGAAATCCCTCCAGATTTAGTTGTTAAAATTTCAGAATTCCAAAATCATATGTTATTTATAACCAGCAATCGAAAAAGGATTGTCTACTGTTGTGCTTTTGCCAGATCTGAGTGCTGGGGTAAAATCCCAAATAATAATGGTGGGTCTTGAGCCAAATTTTGAATGTAATCAAAGTAGAGAGAAGAATGTGGAAATTATCTGCCCCACAGGTAGGAGGAGGCTGTGAAATGGCGGTATACTTGGGTTTTTACTGGTGTAAAATGGGCACGGTGAAGGGACGGGTGTTTCATTGTATGACCGATACTTAAACCTGAAAGTTTTGCAATTGCTCTCCCATTTTTTCCCGTTTTCTCCCATTTATTTAGAAATGGCCAGAGCAATTGTAGAGCAAGTAGGATGCTTGCCTTGCATGTGGCTAACACAGGAGTCCTCCAGTCCACATCTTTGAGTTAATCATTGGACATTGAGTGTCCCCTTCTCATTCCTAGAACATATTATGTGGGGGTGTGGCATGGGGTAGGGGTGTCTTCTCCCTGGAGTTGTTCATTACGGAGAGATCCTGTGCTTTGCCCTCTTGACTTTGTTGTCATTCTTCCTCATCTCTCAGGTATGTCGAGTAGTCCATGTGTTTCAAGGCCCTTGTTTTCCCGGCTGTAAAACAAGCCTGAATTTTCACCTAAAGGGTTGGGTGCTCTTTCTGGACTCCGCTCAGTCAATGTGACACCTTGCATATATTGGCCTTTGGATCATTGCCTTGGTTTTTTGAATATGGGAAGAAATTTAGTTTTCTTTTGTTTTGGGTCCTGGGGATGCTCAGCAGTTATTGCTGGTGGTTCTTGTAAGTTGCTTTTGGCAGTGTTCAAGGATCAACCCCTGTCAATCTCATGCAAGGCAAATGCATACCTGCTGTACGCTTGTACGCACTAAAAAATGTTTTATTGTGTGTATGCTAAATTGTCGAGCGGGCCCAGTAACGCCTCCATTGGAGACTTTGTTGTTACTGTGTCTGGCATATCAAATACTCTCGGTAGCTTGCCGGGCTCTCCGAGAGGGGCGGAGGAATCGAACTCGGGTCGGCCATGTTGGCCGCTTGTAAGGCGAACGCCCTACCCGCTGTGCTATCGCTCAGCGAGAGCCCGGCAAGCTACCGAGAGTATTCGATATGCCAGACACAGTAACAACAAAGTCTCCAATGGAGACGTTACTGGGCCCGCTCGAGCAAATCGACGATCAACGGGAGGGCCTTTACCTTTACCTTTATGCTAAATTGTCACTGTGAGCCCATAGTGAAGTTAAGTCGGACCAGAACAGCAGTGCATCACGGTGGGTTCTCGCCTTACAGATGCCGCCTACCTTCGATGTCCAGCATCCCCTATGGTATCCCAAGCATCACTGGGTCTGATTAAAAACAAAATCCAAAAGGATTTTTTGGGGGATTGCTGAGCTCCTCCATCCCCACAACCACATCTATGGTCTCAGCTTCACGGGAAAAATATCAGAGCCTAATGCTGGGACTAGAGGGTCTTTAACCTCAGTGGGTCCTGAAATATGGAAATTTATTTTATTGTATTGTTTTTTAAAGTTTTCATTAAAGTGCCAGTATTTTCAAAGTTATTGATAGTTGTATTTAGGCGTACAATAATTGAACGCCAATCCCTGCATCAGCTTCCCTCCACCCGTGTTCCCATATTCCGTCCCCACCCCAGTCCCCACTCTACCCCTGCCTGTCATCTGGACAAGCACATGACTAGGTTTCAGTGGTTACAGCTTAGATCTCTAGTTTTAAGTTCTGTTGCATCTGTGTTTTGTGGAAATGGCTACACCCCTCACTCATGTCACTGGCATAAATTAATCCCTGATCCCTGTAAACTTCTGGCTCTCTTCCTCCCCAAATTTCTTTCCTTCTTTGTCCGGCTTCTCTCTAAACACTGGAATCAGGGATGATTTAAGCAGCCCCTTTACAGTACATTTCCACATCCCGTGTTCGGTATTCCACAGATGAGTGAACATCATCCTGTTTTTGTTTCATTTTCTGGCTAACTTCACTCAAGATGGTATCTTCCAGTTTCAACCGTGTTGCTGCATAAAAGCAGTAATAATAAAACCTAAAAAATATATCACTTGATTCCCCTTTATTCATCGATTAATTAGAGTGGATGCCAGTAACTTATCCATGCCTGCCTGTTGTGTGGTAGTGTAGCCCAATGGCATCTGTTTGTTCTAGGAACATGCAGAGCCCCAAACCAATCATTCAGGGTCTTAACAAAGAAGTCTGACCATCTTGTAGGTGGGTGTCCACGCGATCTTTTTGACGTCCCGTGGAATCTAGTCAGTAATGGCTGTAGGCCAGTGGTTGTCTGTAAACCTCATTACGTG